TAAGGGTTATAGAGTTTATAATCCTCAAACCAAAAAGGTTGTTTCCAACAGAGATGTTAAAGTTGATGAAAGTTCTTCATGGATTTAGGAGTCAAATTCTATGAATAAACCTGAGACTCCAAGACTCATTTCACAAACTGAAGATGCTGATAATGTTGATGAAGAAGTTGAGGATGAAGCTGAACTTGAGGGTGAATCAGATTCAGAAAATGAAGTGATAAGAACCAGATCACTTCAAGACATTTATGCCATCTGCAATGCAGCAATTCTGGAGCCTGCAACCTTCAACGAAGCAACTCATTCTCAAGATTGGATAGAAGCAATGAAGGAGGAGCTTAACGCAATTGAAAAATAATGACACTTGGATAATTGTTGACAGACCAAGAAACAAAAATGTTATTGGTGTTAAATGGGTATTCAGGACAAAATTTAAATGCTGATGGTTCAATCAATAAGTTCGAAGCTAGGCTGGTTGTAAAAGGATATGCCCAGCAATACGGAATTGATATTACTGATACATTTGCTCATGTTGCCAGACTTGAAACAATAAGGTTGTTATTTGCAATGGCTGCTCAATCAGAATGGAAGATATACCAGCTGGATGTTAAATCTACCTTCATGAATGGACATCTAAATGAAGAGATTTTCATTGAACAACCTGAAGGGTTCATCAAAGAAGGAAAAGAGGATAAGGTGTATCTATTAAGACAAGCCTTATATGGTTTGAAGTAGACGCCAAGGAGTTGGTATACCATAATAGACAATCATCTGTGCAGCCTTGGTTTCAGCAAAAGTATTATTGAACAAACTCTCTATATCAAACCAGTAGATGAGGATTTGTTTATAATTTCATTGTATGCACATTACCTTCTAATTACAGGAAGCAATGCGGCCTTAATTGAAGAGGTAAAGGATGAATCGAAGAAGGAGTCTGATATGACAGACTTGGGAGAAATGAAATACTTTCTTGGAATGGAAGCCAAAAGAGGTATGCTAAAGAAGTGTTAAAAAAGTTCAATATAGAGAATTCCAAATTAGTTAACACTCCTTTAGTTCAGAATTCAAAGTTGATGAAGGATGATGGTGCAAAGAAAACAGATGAGAAGATCTACAGGAGCTTAGTTGGATGTTTGCTCTACTTAATAGCTAGAAGACCAAATCTTATGTTTGCTGTTAAACAGTTGTCTAGATTCAGGCAAGAGCCAAGTGAGATTCACTTCCAGGCTGCAAAAAGGGTACTGAGGTTCATCATAGGAACATAGAACTTTGGAATGAGTTTTGGGAAGTCAAAACTCTGTTTTTAACAGGTTTTACTAATAGTGATTGGGCCGCATCTGCTGATGACATGAAGAGTACTTCAGTCTATGCCTTTTATGCTGGTTCAAGCTTTGTTTGCTAGAATTCAATCAAACAAAAAATGGTGGCACAATCCACTGCTGAAGCAAAGTATATAGCAGCAACATAGGCAACCAATCAAGCAATATGGTTAAGGAAATTTCTGAAGGATCTCAGTCACCAACAAACTGAAGCAACTAACATTCTTTGTGACAATCGATCTGCTGTAGCAATTGTGAAAAATCATGTGTTCCATGGAAAAACAAAACACATAAATATCAAATATCATTTCATAAGGGAAGCAAAAGAATGGAAAGAAAAGGAATTGAGGCATTGCAGTTCAGAAGAGCAGGTTGCTGATATCTTCACTAAAGCATTGCCTAAGGAGAAGTTTGAAACACTAAGGGGCTGTTCTCTTTGTCGT